ATACCTCCTTCTTATCACCATTTATAAGAATGCACAAACTCACCAAAAGCAAATTTAGAAATAATGCAAAGTATATTATTATTATCATCATCATCATATTGTTGACAAACTACTTTTAAATACCCAGAAATAAAACTATAGTTAAAGGACTATATGCAGATTACATAAGGTGTCCTTAATTTAATCATCAAACTAACTGATAGCCTTGACTAAATGGATAGAAATTATTCGTTAGATATATTTACAGAATTTCTATCTTAGATAGAATTATCTTAGATAATTCAGAGAAATCAGATGGTTCCTTACTTGAGTTTAGAATTAGAGTCTTTATCTGAAAAAGACTTCAGAAACAATTCCTGAAAAAGAGGAAACTTTTTAAAATTTCTTTTCACATGTCTTATTTTGTTACCAATAGAAGAAAAGTACTAATTATTTAGTATATACTCCTGTCCATTTTTTTATTGGAAGAAAAGCCACTTGATTTTTGATTGGATTTTTAGTTCAGACCAATGTTCTTTTTTCTAAAAACAACCTACTATGTAATGACACATTCTGCCTGAGTAACTGAAACATGGTGTTGAAATGAAAGTAGAAAATTAAAATGTCATTCTCTATATTTGTCTTATTAATTATAGAAATTATAGAGTACAATTGATATTTCAGACTCTGTATTTCTTAAATAGTTCAAAATCTGGACTTTGTGTCTACTTGAAGTATGAATGTTCTTTTACATTAAATATGAAAGAAAAACTATTTGAAAAATAAAAGTGGAAACAGAATATAGCAGTCTGAAAATATTGGCAGATATCTTGTTTATTGTTAATGTTTGCATAAGGATATTAAATGCCATTTTTTAAGAAGGCAATTGAGGTTTTCTTGTATTTAAGCTGAACAATTATAGTAAAATAATATTTTAGTTCTTTAAACACAAAAAAGATTCAGTCCATGCATATCACTAAGTTGGCGGTCTCAACATTTGTGATATTGAAGCTCCATTTTTGTTTTAGTTTTAAATGTTCCTTTTATTCCACAATGTTAATGCAATGAATGGGAAAAGCCTGAAACATTAATCTGTGTCACAAATTACTACCCATTACTACTACTCAAGTCCTTCCAGGACTGTACCATAAAACAGAGAAGGTTGAAGTTTCAATGATTTCCAAGTGTCAATTATAAAAGAGAGTACTGGAAGACTGGAGTAGAAAAGTATCTCAAAAATATCTAACACACCATTTAGCAAGAGACTAGTATAAATAATTATAATATGACCCAAAGAAAACCAGAGCTAATAACAGATGAAAGCTACTAGGAGCCAAATGAAAAATTCAACTTGGATAATATCTGAAAATTGAGGTGAGTTGTAACTTTGAAAAAAAGTTAATAATCAGAAAGCTAACCTTTCCTGTTATCTTTAAGATTATCTGGTAAGATGTTTACAAATAGTAAATGTCTGTTTCTGAGACAGAATCTTTTTCTGAGTTAGAGTTTTACCAAACTTTAAGTTTGTTATTTTATTCAATACATAAAAATCCTAATTTCATTTGACATTTTGAAGTTAAACAATAAATGCAAGTTACAGTATTATTTGTTTCCCAATTCTGCATCATTTGTTGAACTATTTTATCCATGTTGTGGAGCATGGAACTTAGAAAGAATAGACTATTGTATGTTGCATGTTCTACAACATGGGTATAATTTTTCCCAATATCATGTTGTGTTACTCAAACATACATAAAAATTCCAGACCAGGAGAAGATTTGGTTTTGGCAACAATAGTAGGATCATTTTAATGCACCCCCCTCACAAATCACCACCACACTTTCCATATTTTGTTCAGCAATATTCAAACAAAGAACTGGTTCCATCCAATGTTCATCTACAGAGGGATAGGAAAGGGGGAAATAATTGTGTTATTAATAATGTTCTAACAGGAATACATTTCCACTGCATAATTCATCTGAAGAATTTCTTAATGAATTAATAAATAGAATGAATTTTGAGAAGTACACATGGAACATGTGGTAGTTTCTGTCAGTGTTATACAATTACAATACTGTGTGAAATTTTGTGAATTTCATCTGGAGAAATTGTATAAATCTTTATGCAATATCCTGTGCAAACAAAAATACTACTCTTTTTTTATGGAAACCTGGAAAAAAGCCCAGTATGCTTTCCACCTACAGAAGATATTTCTGAATAGAATCCTCAATAGTAAGCCAAAATAAATCCATTATTCCAAAATATATTTGAAAACTGTTATGCCAAAAAATGTATTGCCAGACAAATGGATAAAACATAAAATATTCCAAACCAGCCTAATTTATCACAGCCATAAGTAAGAATGCATAATATTCTAGTAGAAATATATTATCATGAAATCAAACAGAATCTGTTTTAAGACTGACAAGCAGGAGACATATGCAGAAATAATTATTTTAATTGTGACAGCCAACATATTGAATTTTGCTGGATTTTCTTCTACCCAGCTATCTTGTTTTCCACGGCAATGAATCAGAACAAATTGCACTTCAATCATGTTTTGAATATGCCATTTTATTTTCCTTAAAAAAATGATAGTATCTGTTCTAAACAGTGCTACCAAGATTAGCTAGGGCCAGGTAAAGGTTAGAAAAAGGCCACATGCAAACATTGCTTCCTGAGTTCCACCTATCTTAAGATTGTCTCTCAAGAATCAACTAATATTCTGAGGAAACCTTCAGTTGTGTAAGGTTAGGCATTTGCTACTTTTGCTCAAGTCTATTAGCTGAGAGAAATATAGTTGTCCTTTTTTCTGATTGTCCATTCCTTTCTTCTGTTTCATACCATTTTTATTTTGTTTATAGATTTATTAACAATATTGGATCATTTGCCTGTATCATATCATTTAAAACAAGGGTGATTTTTGTTTGAAAAACAAAATTATTAACATGTCAGCATGTTAATATTTTGATAGCCTATTAGAATTTGCAATTGTTAGCTTGTTTCTCCAAGCAACTGATTATTTGACTCAGTTTGCCCTCTAGAGAATGGTCATATGTTTTGTTTTCATTTCAAACCATGTTGTAAACCATTTTGATAATAAAAATCTTGCTCTAATCTACATATACATAAAGTTAATTTTCAATTTGGATAAATTAGATCTTATCCATATCTTACTCAAATATATTTTAATATGTTATACATTTAAACAAACACTATTGAAATTAAGTATCCTAATATCAGTAAGTATCTATATTTTGGATACTCAAAAAAGGAAGAGGAGAAATGTGTAGAAAATAAGATATGAGTATAGTGACCTATTTGTAGACATGGAACATTGACAAATGTTGAACAGCAGCATGTACTTGACTTTCAAAGAGGTCAATAGAGAACTTAGAAAATACTATAAATAGCTGGATTAATGTGATAGATTGAATCTTATTGGAACACATTTATAGATTTTATAGTTAATTTTAAAAATGTTCTTGCATTTTGTTCTTAGAAATGTGCTTTTGGTGTCATGGCAAGGCACTAATGCTTTCTGAAATAAAATAAGCATATGTTTGAACATTTAAATATATTAAATGTTCTTGTATTAGGCACAAACAAATAGGAAAACAATGGGAAAATACTGAGATAAGTTCAGCTCCCTTGTATATTGAAATGAGTAAGAAAGTGATGATTAAAAGAGGTCAATTCCTTGTAAAGAAGACGGGAATTTTTAGATTTCCAAGATTGATTTCACTCTTATGTATAGACCAGGTAGGAAAGATGAGCTAATTCTACTGTATTGTAATATTACATTAGCAGAATGTTACTACAAATACTTGTCTCCACTTTTATAGCTCAAGAAACTAGGAAGGCTCTTGTTTGAGCTTCTTGCCACACATTCCTGCTGCAGGCTAAGCTGTTTTTTATCTAATCATTACTTTGGCCATGCCTGGGTATCCTATATCCCAAAGTCATTCTCACCTACCATTATATACATTTAAATTATAAATGAATGTGTTACTGAGGAAAGCAATAAAACTAGTTTTCACATTTCTTGTCCAGTGACTACTATTGATATATTCTGTTCTGCCAAACCATTAGAAGTAGTCATTATGTTGTCCTTCAAGGTATACAAAGAAGTTATTTGAAACATAAAAGGAAAAAAGCTTTACTAAACAACAAACTAAAGTCTAAAATACTACGAAAGAAACTAATTGTGTTAAATATCTTAAAATTATTATGTGCAAGAATGCCATCATTTTAGAATTTTAGGAATGAATGTATATATGTATGTACTGCATGTATGTATATATGTATGTATGTATATATGTAAATGATTACATGGTAGTAATGAGACAGTTAACCTCCCCCATTCTCTTATAAATTAAGTCAATTCCTTATAGAAAGATTGAAATAAGGCCAATGATGGCAGATTATCTGTTCCAGAGTTAGACATGAAAAGTGACCTTTCAGAGTTTAATTTGATTTGATTAGCATTATTCTGGCTGCAGGTAACCGTTCCCTATGTTTGTCTTATGCTTGCAATTAGATCTGAATACATTCTATTGTCTTTTAATAAACATAATTAATTTAATTAACAAAGATGCAATATAATAAATGATAGAGGAACACAGACGGTAGCGATTAACACCTTTTGTTCCATGTAGTTCCACTAGCTTTTTCTAGCTTGCTAAGAATAAAACTACAAACCAAATGGAAACTAACATCAAACAAGCATAAGTTACCCAAACATCAACAAAAGGCCATTGTATTCCATATCCTCTATACATGCTGCAGATTATTGGAGGATTAAAATGGGTTGATGAGAGAATTAAATATTCTAATTTAAAGATATTGTTATAAAGGCATAGAAATACATTATTGGATATGCTGACAAAAATAGTTTCAGTTATGTTTGTTTTCTTCTTGTTTCACTGGCTGTATGAATGTTATATTTAAAATATTCAATATGCTGTATTGTTTATAATGATCAGATGTTTAGCCTTTGTTTTGTCTTTTTTTCCTGGCAGTTGTGACTCTGAAAATAGATATCTTGGTAATCCACTCAGGGGAACATGTTACTGTAAGTATTTGTATATTTCATTTTCCTCTGTTCTTCCTTTGAAATAACATACACACTAAAATATATTTTAGACCACTATTGATAGGTTATTATTAGCTGATATTAATTATTAACTAGAAACTATTGATCAGTGGTACGTTTATGGCATATATATTTTCTTTCTTTCTTCTGTTACTTTTTCTTCCTTCCTTCTGTTCAATCATTCCCAGAGAAGTTCCTACAGTTTTCTTCGCAAAGTTTTTCAGAACTGTTTTGCCGTTGACTTCCCTCCTAGGGTAAAAGAAACACCCACCTGTGCCTAAGGCAGGCTTAAAACTCATGGTTTCTACATTTTTATATTGATCCCTTAGCAACAATAACACACTGTCCCTGGATATAGGGTATATATTAAATAGTAACCTTGACATTTGTTGAACTCCTTGGCAAAGAGATACATGCATGGGAAAAACAAAATACTTATCATTATTATTTATTTCAAGATAAATTATTAAAATTTAATGTGCAAACATGTATCATTGCTCTGAAAGATAAATCACTATACTTTCTACTAGGAGGATGGTAACTTGCTTCTGGATACTGAAAGAATGGTTGCTGCGCTTTAAAATGTAATTATAGACAATTATAATATGATATGCCAATCATTTTAATTACATTCAAGATTCAATACAAGATTCAAATAATTAAAAAAGAACATGTAATGAATTTATAGTATCTGGAGTTAAATAAATCTGGTAATAAATTTATAACAAAACATGTATAGACTATTTCAAAAATGTTTATGAGATTTAGTGGTAACAACAAAATATATCTGTAGACTTTCTTGTTATCAACCCTTTTTTTGAGCTAAGAAAAATAAATACAGCCAAATGTAAACAGTGAAGAAGATGTGACACTTGTGGGCACTGAACAACTTAAAGAAAAATCTTATTGTAATTCCCTAATAGTCCTGCTTCATAAATCTTCTTTGAGAAAAATTGTACCACACTTAGGTACCCTTCACTTTTAAATAGCTGAAGCCATTCATCTTCTATTAGTAATTTAGAAATTTGTGGGCTTAGTTTTATATCATCTTGTACTACTTACATTAATTGTAAATCTACACTATGAATAAATTTATTATTTTTTCCAAATTCATTTGCATTCTGTGTTGATGCTTCATTATCCAGATATTAAAAATCTTATCTTAAAAATTCAAGTAAGGGAAAGACCCATGGAAAGCAGCACAAATTATCTGGTTGCAGCAACAAAGACAAGTTACCATATATGTTGAATTTGTTACTTCATTTCACTTTATATTTTGGCCATAGTAAAAAGAGGATCCTAATTTTTGTTTTGTTTTGATGTAGGAGTTTACATTTTATAAGATAGCTAATCCTTAAGAATAAGTTTTGTAAAGAAAGGGTTTTTTATAGGTTCATAGGTGGGTAAGTAGATATAATACAGGTTGACAGCTATTGCATTAATGTATATTTTAGTTGTTATAAATTTACCACATTAGTGTATTATATACAATCAGTGCCCAGTTGTTGAACATGTGAGGATTGTTTTCAATCTATGCAGCATATTTGTTATTTTAATACTTTTTGTTAGTGGTACTTAAACTTATTTTCCTGATCCCATTTTGTCATTTATATTTGAATGAAATGATTTCATCCAATATAATAGTAAAACAGAAAGAGACAGAAACAGACAGAGAGACAGAGACAACGTGGGTACCTAAATAGAAAATGGGAGATTGTGAGTCCTAGTCATGAAAGCCAGTTTGGTCAATCTGTCTTTCATTCCCACAATGTGGGGGTCAGGCAACAAGCTGACCCATTTCTTTTGCAACCAATGGATCAATATTCCATTTATCGAAAGAAAGAAAGAAAGAAAGAAAGAAAGAAAGAAAGAAAGAAAGAAAGAAAGAAAGAAAGAAAGAAAGAAAAAGAGAAAGAGAAAGAAAGAAAGAAAGAAAGAAAGAAAGGAAAGAAAGGAAAGAAAGAAAGAAAGAAAGAAGGAAAGAAAGAAAGAAAGAAAGAAAGAAAGAAAGAAAGAAAGAAAGAAAGAAAAAGAGAAAGAAAGAAAGGAAAGAAAGAAAGAAAGAAAGAAA